AGGACCACCAGCCCCTTCTGAACAGACTCCTTCAGGGATCCATCTCAGAGCAGCCTGCTCTGCGAGGTAGCAGTGGTAGCAGCTCACCACCTCTTCCTGGGTTTTCTCCTCTCCCTCCTGCCCTTGGCAGGTGGCTGAAGCTTATCTGGCCAAACCCCTGCTAATCAGGGCTCTCCTCTTCTCTCCCTCAATCCCAGATCTCACCCTCCTTGTGTCACAAGCCTGACTTTTCCTCTCTTGGCCTCCAACCCCATCTTGCTGCCCCTCAGCATCCTTCACCCTTAGCACATGTCTCCTGAGCTCTGTCCCTATGCAGGTGCAGCGATGGAGGCCAAGTCAGCCCATGACCAGAGCCCACATGTGGCAGACCTCTTCACGGCTGCATTGGCTGCTGCCTGCAGCATCCCTCTGGAGAGGAACAGCTGTCGGGAAGCCAAGCAGCAGGTCAGGCCAGCTCTCTTTGCAGGGTGAGGAGGTGTGGTCCCCACAAGGGCAGCAGCCCTTTCTAGGAGGATCTCTTTTTCAGCAGCAGAGTGGAGGGCTGGGGTCCTCTGGCTTTGGTGGCTGCAGGGCTGGCATTTGCAAGCTGCTTCTCCCCAGCCAACAGCTGAGCTTTAGGAGTCTCAGGACTTCTAAATCAATTAAGAAACTCACACTTAGGATCTGAACTGTGGGATGGGCTAAGTAAAGAACTAGGAAATGCAGAGAAAACATGAAGAATTCTTGTATGACAGTGATGTGAACTGTAGGAAATCTGAAATTGAATGGACAATAAATAAGAGGAGAAACAAAACCACAGATGTACATTTGATTCTTTAACTCAGTTCTGAGTCAACAAGGAGGGAAGCAAAAGAGAGGAATCTCACTTTGCTTATCGCAGATCTGGGAGTGTGCATCAAAGCCATGCTGGGTCATGGCAAATGGACATCCCTTTGTGAACACAGGCAACGCGTAGGAAGCAGATGCCTTCTTTTATTAATTTATTGCTAGCATTAAACTCCTTAAATCTGTGCAGTGCTTCAGGTCCCCAGGGTGCAAAACAGGCTGATTTCTGCAGGTGGCTCGGGAGGTAGCTGAAAAGCTTATGGAGCGAGAGAGCCAGCAGCTTGGGAGACTGCTGCGGAGACTGGAGCACCCAAGCTGCTCCTTGAATGTTCTGAAGGTAATGACCCTGTCCATTTATCTGGCTGTGCCCAGAGGTGCCTGGACCTTTGGTCTGGGGTTAGGAGCATGGGGAAGGAGGAACTGTGGGCTCAGCCCTCAATCACTCCCATCTCCCTGGTGTCAGTTGTTGAATAAATGAGCCCACAGTAGCCATGGGGTGTGACTGGGATGGGCCTGGTCACTGCATCCCTATCCCCAAAGGCTGGTATGCATCTTTCCCCTCTGCCTTGCAGATCCTCTATGCTGGCTGCCATGCCAGCCTGAGCCTGTGTCAGCACCTGGGAAGGAGCCAACGACTGTGGAGTTCCCTTATGCAACTCTCGAAGGGCAAGGTAGGACTGACCACAGCCGCCGGTGGTGGGGTAGAAGCGTGGGCAAGCAGGGCACATTCCTCTGAGCACCGCTCAGACCAAGCTGGGGAATGTGTGGGGAGAAAAACTCGGGGGAGCTTAGTCTGGAGAGTGCAGTTCTCCTCCAGGGCCCAGAAATGTCCCCTCCTCCCAGCCTTGCTGTCCCCCTGTGACTCCTGCTCCCTTGGCAGGTCACCATGGCAGAGGTGGCCCAGGGGGCAGCCTGCGAAGCCTCTCTGTACCTGCTGGCCCTGCTCAGCCTGCAGCTCCAGGCCTCCCCTCCCAGGTAAGCACCCACTTTCACTCATGGGTGGGAGAGGAACATGTCCTGCCCTGAACAGCCCTCTGTCCTGCACCCTGCCCAGAGCTGGGCTCCTGCTCCCACTGATTGCTCCGATCTGGACACACCAGCAGAGTGCTGGGCAGAGTGGGTAGGTGCTGGGAATGTGGTGAGGACCCAGTGTGGAGAAGGAGATTCTGTGAACCAGGGCTTGCTCCTCCTGCAAGGTGGCTGCTTCCCAGCCCTGGGAGCATTTGAATGCTGTTGCTCTGTGGAATGTGAAGCTGTAGGAACACAGTGCCTCTATCCTGGTCCCTCTGTTTCAGGCTTGAGGAGGTGGTTACCCTGGCTGTGGATCTTATCACCCAGTCTCCTGTCGTCTCCCTTGTGGTAGGTCTGACCACTCTGCCAGAGCTGCCACTGAGAGCCCTGCAGAGCCCTACATCCCATTTGAGTCTTACTGTTGCTCACTCAGGGTGGGATGGGGGCAGGTGCAGCCTGGCTGTCCCTGCCCTGGGCCTGGGAGGAACAGTCAGCACTGAATGGGCAGATGGGAAAGTCCCAAAGGTGTTGAGCTGTCCCCGTCCCACAGGGTGCTGCAGCGTTCCTGCTGACACAGCTCAGTCAGCATGGGGTGGCCTTGGAGCTTGGGGGAGAAGAGATCCTACCGGTGGTGACAAACGCGCTGACAGCACCTGCTGAGGTAAGGGATGGGGACAGAGGAGCAGGGGAGCCATGCTGTCACCCCACTGTGGAGGTGTGCAAAGACGGGCTCGGAAGGGTGCAGGTGTGGTGCTGCTGCCCTCGGACCCAGCACCTAGCTCCAGCCTGGCCCCTACTCTCTCTTCCAGCTCCAGCTCCC